CAATATATTCAACCTCTCGCACCTTTTTACCAGCATATTTCCTCCTCACATGCCCAAAACCAGATCACTTCCCTCATCTTATCACCACGGAGGCCACCCACCTTGTTTTGTATATCCTCATTCCTAATTTTATCGCTTCCAGTATGTCCACAAATCTATCTCAACATCTTCATTTCTACTACTTGCATCTTTGGAACATGAAAATTCTTGACACCAGTACTGCGCTTCATACAATAAAGTTGATTTAACCACAACTCTGTAGAACTTATATTTAAGTTTAATTGGTACCTTTTTATCACACAAGACGCAGAAGGCAAGCCTTGACATCATCTTTGAAGTCCTCACTTTCCTGTAATACCAAACATACTTAAAAGTTGAAACTCTCTCTTGAGAATAACTTATATGTCAAGCCTTTCTTCCGTACTTACCTCCTGCATTGTATTACTGAATTTGCACTCCAAGTATTTTGATCATACTCAACCAAAACCCTTTAAACTCCATAATTTGTCTTCACACCTTCAACCTAACACTAACTTCACTGCGCGTCTCATCAATTAGTACTTTCTCATCCACAAACAACAAACTCCATGACACCTTATCTTGAATATACTACATCAATCCATCAATCACCAAAGCAAATAGGAAAGGGCTAAGAATTGATCCATATTCCATGGTGCAACCCCATCTCAATTAAGAAGTGCTTTGAGTTTCCTCCTACCATTCTAATCGAGTCTTAACTCCATCATATATGTTCTTTATCGCTCTAATATAAGTTTGATAGAAACATCTCTAACATCTACACATCTCTAAAGAATTTCTCTTGAAATTATATCATAAGCCTTTTCAAAGTTAATAAATACTATATATCTAAAAAAAAAAAATCTCCGTCAACCTCCTCATAATATTAATAACTAACAATAAAACACTTGGATCGAAATAATAATAGAACATCAAACGAAAGCTTATAACTATAAACTTTTAATAACGACAAATCAAAGGATAAAAGAAAAGTATACGGTAGATGCCTCAATCATCAATAATAGAAAGGGGGAGAAATGAGTAAAATAAAAAGGTAACTAACACCATCATGGTGGAGGGGTAAGTACTTGTTCTTTCTAAATCAAGAAGTCTTGAATTCGAGCCCTCTTGGATATAAAGTAATCTTTGTTAAAAAGCGTTTTATCCTAATATAAATTTTTCAGTGCAAATTCAAATTTAATTAAGCTACAATATAGACCGTTTAGGAAAAAAAAGGTAAACTAACTACCGTCAATAATGTAGTCAACTCCAAGTCTTGTGCCAACCTCCGCCGCCCCCTCCCCTTTTTCTTAGTATAAAAATAAGTTGAACTAAAAAGTAAATCAATAAACACTAAATATATTAGAAGTTGCTTTCTCCGTCAGCCACGCGGAATGGAATGGTGTGATTTTTTTTATTTTTTATGTTTGATATTTGTTATTGGATTCGTGTCACAGTTCTACTAGTTTTTGAGAACGTGCGTTGCATATTTATCGCATATAATTATTATCAAACAATTCTAATGATCGGCCATTTCAACAACTTTTTGATCTTCTTCATTCTTTAACCTCTGCATGAAATCTAACAGAGAAATGTAGAAATGAAAGTAGAATATTGAAGAGGAGCCAATCATTAGTTGCTTCCGACATTACAAGACATTAGTTAAGATATTTAAACCTGAATTCACTAACAAAATGTTACATCACCACGGTAATAATTTTGATAGTGTTTGTGAAGATTAGAGCCATTAGAACTTGGGACAGAATAGCCCTGTAAAAAGAGCTCAAACTATAAAAGCAAAAACCTATTCTACAACTTCATTTAGCTAAGAATCATCAAAAGAATGCAAATATTTCGGGACGACATCCACGTGTTCTTATAAATGAGTTTTGTGCCTAAAACAATTCCATCAAGTTGTCTTAATTGCCCGGGGAATAACACCCAAGTAGTTTGTCATGAGATCCATGATACCAAACATCATAGCCATTGAGATCTGCTTAAGATCATTTTCCATATTCCTTATGTTAGCAATGGATTGCACACTGAATATAATAACAACCCACGAACAAATCTTGTATCTGATAACATGGCACCAAAGACGCCGAAGATGACGGCTATGAAGCCGTAGTAATCTATTGGAAAATCTTGTGGACCAACCAGTGAAGCCTTGTATGGTTTCACCATCATATTCGAGTAAAAATATTCAATGAGATTTGCAAATTCAATTGCTCTTTGGGTGACTTAAATAAGGGACCTTAGGTAAGGGAAGATGAAAAGAATCAAATTATTAAAGATATTTTAGCCAAAAATTAAAAAGACCCATCAATTTCCAACTTAATTTTTGACCTTTGATCTTCATCAGTTTGCTCACAAACAAGAGATGAAGAAGCAATTGAAGAAGTATTGTGCCTCGAGAAAAGAAAGAGTCTATTGACTTAAATCATAATTATGAATATTTTTATGCAATATTATTATGTAGATGAAGATCAAATCATTAAGTTGGAAATTGACGGATTTTTTTAATTTTTGGCTGAAAATATTTAATAATTTGATTCTTTTCATAATTATGAGTATTTTTACTGCAATATTATTAATGTAGAACAAATAATTGCTTTATATATATATAAAGGGTAAAATGATAATTCAACTTTTGACTTAAGTTTTTCCCACTTATAATCATAATTATGATAATTATGATTATGATTCAGAGATACGTTTTTTACTTAAAAAGATCTCATATTCAAAATTTTGAATTTGAACATTCTAATTAAAAAGATTATAGTTTCATCCGCTACATCATAGCCTTAAAATGGTAAACTGGTATCAGGTAAGAAAGCTAAGGAAACAACTACTTGTTGGATTTGCCAAATTCCTCCTTAGATTCACCTATTCTATTCAAATTACACTCGTAACAAGTTCATCCACCCAAATTCTACGGGCAATTTCTATTGTTAAAAACTAAAAATCTTATTTAACAATGAATTTAATTGGAAAATTATTATTAACTATAAGTTAGTCAACGATGAAGTTCATACAAATTAGTAAAATAATATTAATATTGAAAATTCTTAACATTTCTGAGATATTTAGGCCTCATTTTTTCCATTAAGATTAAGATGTTTGAATCTCAATGTACATTTGAGTGATTGCGATATTATCTCTATATATGAACACTGAATAATTAAAATTATTTCTTTGTCTACATTTAAACGTACCTAATTCATTTATTTGTAAACATAATTGGCATACAAATTTAAATAAGAAATTAATCAAATATTAAGTAAAAAATTAATTCAATAAAATAAAATCATTATTTTGTATAAAGAAATGAAATATTTATGTTCGCTAGTGATAGTGGAGATGATTTGTAGTGGTGGTAATGGTAGATATTAGTGACTAGAAATGGTGGTAATGATAGTTATGACTATGGAGGTGGTTGATGTTGTATTAATTGTCATGACGGTGGCGGCTGGTAGTGGTGGTGATAGTTATTAGTAGTTGGCGATGTTGATGGTGATGGCTGAAGAATGTGGGGGTGATTGACAATGCCTTGGTGGTAGTTTATTGATAGTGGTGCGATGGTGAAGTTGGTTGGAAGTAAAAATTGGCCGCAAAGGTGTTAGTGCAGTGGTGGTAGAGGCGGTGACGATGATGGTGATGACAATGGATCACTGCAAGAAAATACAAAATGAGCTACGAAATTTGTCGGCAATTCATAGATAATCCATCGCTAAAACGCTCCTAGCTAATTGAATTTTCTTATAATCCACAGGTAAATGAGATTATCATAATTTTTTATTGTTTAGCTACAAAATTTTGTTCGTCGCTAATTCCTCATTTTCTAATAGTGTATATAAATTATAATGATGGAGGTGGTAGGTGTGGTAACGATTGACAGTAGTGGTTGACAACAAATTCATTTAATGATCTTATATCTAAATCATTCAAATTCTAATGTTCATTAAGTGCAAACATACGAGGCTCGGTTATAATTGTTTGCGCAACTTGGGCACTTACCTCACTACCTCTTACCTACTAAAAACTTTGATTATAATCAACTATTCTTGTTCTTTTCCACATTTTGTGAATTTCATATATCTAAGAAATTATTCATTTTTACACAACCAATTCCTTATAAGTTGTCCACATGATATGATATGACATAAGCCTATTTATGTTATGTGCTTCTGCCAACTTTGTTCATAGTTTTTTTTTTCTTATTGAACTTCTCTTCCTTGGTGAAGTTCTCTTTTCATGGCTTTCACAATTTCTCTCTCTGTAGCTTGTATATCACTGTATGTCATGTATATGCCAACATATACACTTTATATACAATGATATACATTGACATACACAAGTCATATACATAATATAAGTGATATGCATATACACACATGTTTGCCTTTGTATGTACCCATACGTCATGTCTATATCATTGTATGTATAAATATGATACATCAAACACATACTAGATATATCCTACATATTCATTCATTCCACCATTAAAGCATTGACACAAACTATTTACCCTTAAAAAGATACGATCAAATCAAATTATATTAAAATTAACTGAATGTTAATAAAATAAGAGTATAATAGGAAGAGAATAAATGTCCTTCCTTGATTTGTTAAAAAAGACAATTAAAAAGGGAAATCTAATTAGAAAATATTTGACAAGTAAATAACGATAGAGGGAGTACCAATTACCAAACTAATTGTTTTCATCATTGTCTAAATTGATACCCTTGAAGATTCTAAAAAGATATACACTATCCTAATTTAGTGTGTTATAGATATATGATCACAATTCCAATTAAGGACCTTTGATTATATTCTAGCCATTTAGGTAAAATGATAAATGTGATTTATAATTAGATATTTTTGTTCATAATCCACTTGTATCATTCTATTTAAACTTAAACATATTCTAAACATCATCATCAAATCAGTTTTTCTTAGTGAGAAAAAAAGAAGAAGCAAAAATGAAGTTAGAACTTGGAATTGCAATTATGTTGATGATGATTTTTGTAGCACAAGGGATGACTGATGTACAACGATGCCTTCATGCTTGCAAATTACAATGTGGCAATGATAAAAAATGTTACAATGATTGTGTAAATAATTGTGTTGTTTCTGTGAATGTGCAAAGTCAAATTCACTATTGTAAGATTGGTTGTTTTTCTATTAAGTGTTCTAAATTTAATGTAAATGACAAAAAAAAGAGAGGCTTGTTTGGAGGATTGTTTTAATAAGGTTTGTTATTTCAAAAATTAGTGATGTATTTGTTGCTAAAATTCATGTATTGAAAGAACATGATTATTCTCAACAAAGATTTTTTTTCCCACTCCGACTAAATTCGGATCACACACTGCAGGGCCCATTTGGGGTGGCGCTCCCAATAGGATTGTCACCATACCCAAGGCTCGATCTGGTTAAGGGTGAAACACTCCCACTAATACACCACAACCGATGTTGGTAACCTAACAAAAAAATTGATTCGCTCCAATATATATTTTCTGGCCTTAATGTATAATTACATTTATAGTGTAAAAATTACTAATAATATCAGTATATTAACATATTCTGGCAGAATGTTGATTTGTAAGCAGTCAATCTGATAATTTTCTATGATAAGTGCAAACAGAAAAATCAAATCGAAATAAATCTAACCAAATCGAACTAATTTCAATTTAAATTCGATTTTTATTTTTACTAAAACGAACACTGATAAATCGAATGGAACTTTTTAAACTAACCAAATGATCACCCCTACACACGACAATATCATTATTAAGATATAAAGTGTATCTTTGATATATTTATTATTATCGAGTTATCAATTCTTAATGGTTTGAAGCTTTTTCTTAACGGGTGAACCAATAACCCATAGTAAATTAAATAATTGTATTTATATCATTTGGTATATAAAGTCCTTACTCCTTAACTTTGAGTTTACTTTCTTAGTGTTATTTCATGTTGTTATTCTACGATGTGATACTATTTGTTTTAAAGCAAGATGCAATTTGTCAACTCATATTCATTTAGTTTGTCACCTTGTTTTAAGTGATTTTCAATGATTTTTTATGTGTCAAATCTTAACGGTTAAACCAATAACAATTAATAACCGATAAGCCAATATCCCAACTTTCTATAACATTTTATCATGTTTACAAAATGATAACTGATAAGTCAAATTGATAAATTTTAAAACTTAACCGAACCAACTAATACACAGCCTACCCGATATTTCATATTAATACTCGAACTAACCCAATATATTTTTGGAAAATCGTGGTCTTAAATTGAGGTCAAAATTTGAGTCTCGAGTCAAAGTCAGGAGTCGAGGTTGGAAGTTGGATCCCAGGTGTGAACTCGTTTAGGGAAATGTAATAAGCGTATGAGAAATTAAAAAGAAATTAGTTTTGGAGGGTAAATAGAGAGTTTTAACGATAAAATCAAGAAATCAAGAAGTTAGTTTTCTATATAAAGATACATTTTAATTTGTGTTGTCATCATTTCCATTAAATTCATTCTTCTACTGATCTCTCATAATTCCCATCCATTTTTTTCTTTTGCATTTGATATAATTAATCTTCTCTCTGAGTTGATACTAATGAAAGAATCTACTGTCGTACGTGCAGAAATCCAGTTGCACGCATCCAAGATTATATTCGGAGGGTAAGGATTCGAATATAATGATTTCATGAATGAATTAAGTTATATTTCTTGCAACGTAACTTATGATCTTGTAAACTTTGCAGGTTCGTCAAGGAGTGATCATAATTAGAAGAGTGTAAGTCTCATGATTGATTGATTTTGTGCAACTTGAGATTTATTGATTTTTGCAGTCATATATATATATATATATATGCAGGTATAATGTTCACGTACCAGATGATGTGGAACATGAGTTTGGATTTACCACAGCTGATACTTACTGTGGCCAATGTGGAACGTTGATCGGGTGGAAATTTGTAAGATGGTTTACATGAACAAGAAGATTTTGTTGTTTTGTAAATAGTAAGTACTGAATTTGTTTTATTTTGATGATCTCCAGATTGCAGTCCCACTAGGGTCCGTGGATGTTAGAGAAGGAAGATTCATGTTGATATCGTAAGTTTCTAATTACAAATTTGCAACAGAGTGTACATATAATTGTAATGGTTGATACAAATGATCGTATTTTGTGGCAGGAGAGAGGTTACTTTATGGGATGGTGTACAATTGCTTCATTTAAATGAAGAACAAGGTTTAGGTGCTAATGAGCAAAATGCAAATCAAGATTTAGGTGCTAATGAGGCTAATGCTGATGGAGGCGGAAATGAACAGAATGATGATCAAGATGGAGGCGGAAATGAACAGAATGATGATCAAGATGGAGACGCTAATGAACAAGATGTCGGCGCTAATGCTGCAGTTCAAGATGGAGGCGGAAATGAACAGAATGATGATCAAGATGGCGGGGATCCAATGAACTGAATGAAGATGTAGAGCAGCTAATGATGAGAATGCAGACATTGATAGCCTACTCATGCTGACATACTGCTTATACAAAGTGCTATAATTCGTGTGTGATATTCTGTTTCCATTTCTGTTTTGAGATTGGGTTGGATTAAACCAATTGACACTCAAATTTTTACTCGTTTGAGCTCCGTTCTCTATATGCTGATTAGTTTGTTTTTAATTTCCTTAACTGCAACAGCTATACAGTCAATGCTAGTGAACTTTTTGTTTGTTTTCTTACACTATTGTATGTGGTGAAGTCACATTTTAACGCCTATGTTTCAAACTCAAGATATGTATGTATGTTATTGTTGTTGTAGGTAGTCGGTAGAATGTTGTTATAAAGAAGTAATATAACCTGAAAAATTGGTACCTTCTCCATAAAATCCAGCCGTTACAGTGAAACATTGTTATAAACGAATGGTTGTAATAGTAAGTTAGCAAAACTCATATATTTTGTGCCTCAACCTTCATTGCACCTTCACCATGTAATTGTTGTCTCAACTTCACGGAGCCACTTAAAATCTTACGCCTTTACTGGACTCTCACCGTGCTATCTATCTTGTTTCAACTTCATGAGACTAATCTCGATGTTCCATAGAACAAGTTTATAGATGCTGAGAGAAAGGGCCTATCTTAGCTGCTTTTCCTAAGCCAAAATTTGCCTACAAGTTTCAATGGAGGCATTTAGGGAGGGTAAAATGGAGGCGTTCTGGAAACGCTATTTATGGTATCTAATAATTAGGGAAGAGATTAAGATATAAAGTGTATTTCTTGTAAGTAGATAAAAAGAAAATGAAACAACAACATACTCGGTGAAATTCCACTAGCTCAAGTGGGGTCTGAGTAGGATAGTATGTATGCAGACTATCACTACCTCGTGGAAGTAAAGAGACTATTTTTGAGAGACCCTCGACTCAAGTAAATGATACAGGGTATATTTTTTCTCTATATAATTTTAAATCGGTTGCAACATAAAATGTGAATATGACTAGTATTAGAAATTAAAAAGAAAACAGTTTTGGAGGGTAAACAGAGAGTTAACGGTAAAATCAAGAATCAAGAAGTGAGTTTTCTATATCAACATTTTGTCTTCTCATCATTTCCACTATATTCATTCTTATAATTCCCATCCATTTTTCTTCTCATTTGATATATTCTCCTCTCTGAGTTGATACAATGATAATATTCAAGAAATCAAGAAGAAATTCTAATGATAGCATCTACTGTCGTGCGTGCAGAAATCCAGTTGCACGCGTCCAAGATTATATTTGGAGGGTAAGGATTTGAATATAACGATTTCTTCCAATTTGTTTCATGAATTAAGATGTACTTTGTTATAATTCTTGACTAACAACAGAACTAACTTGTTTTCTTGCACACCTTGCAGGTTCGTCGAGCTGGGATCTTTAGTAGAGTGTAAATCTTATGATTGATTTCGTGCAACTTGAGATTTATTTCTGCAGTCTAAAAGTTATATATGTGTATATATGCAGGTATAATGTTCTTGTATCGGACGATGAGAATTATCGTTTAGGAAGTACCATAGCCAAGACTTACTGTGGCCGATGTGGAACGTTGCTCGGGTGGAAATTTGTATGATGGTTTTCATGAACAAGAAGATTTTGTTGTTGTTTGTTGTTTTTAAATAGAACTGAATTTTTTTATTTGATCTGCAGATTGTAGTCCCACTGTGGTATGTGTTCGGTAGAGAAAGGAAGATCCGTTTTGTTCTTGTAAGTTTCTAATTACGAATTTGCAACAGAGTGTACACATAAGCTGTATAACTTGTAACGGTTGATACAAATGAGTATTTTGTGGCAGGAGAGAGCTTTGTTTCTGGAATGGTGTACCATTGCTTCATTTAAACGAAGAACAAGATTTAGGCGCTAATGACCAAAATGCTCATCAAGATTTAGGCGCTAATGAGCAAAATGGTGATCAAGATTTAGGTGCTAATGAGGAAAATGCTGATCAAGATGGAGGCGCTAGTGAAGAAAATGCAGATCAAGATGGAGACGCTACTGATCAAGATGGAGATGCTACTGATAAAGATGGAGATGCTACTGATCAAGATGGAGTTACTACTGATCAAGATGGAGATGCTACTGATCAAGATGGAGACACTACTGATCAAGATGGAGATGCTATTGAACAAAATGCTGATCAAGATAGAGACGCTAATGAACAAGATGTGGGCATGAACGAGGAAAATGCTGATCCAGATGGAGGCGGTAATGAACAGAATGATGATCAAGATGACGGCACTCCAATGAACTGAATGAAGATGTAGAGCAACGAATGATGAAAATGCAGACATTGATAGCCTACTCATGCTGATATTCGCTGCTTATACAAAATGCTATAGTTCATAATTGTTTGTTTCCATTTCTGTTGTAAAATTGCAGTACATATTACTACTTCAAGTTGGAATAAACCAATTGACACTGAACGTTTTGCATGTTTGAGCTTCGTTCTCTATGTGCTGCTTAGCTTGTTTTTAATTTCCTTAACTGCACCAGCTATACAGTTTCGCTGTAGAGTCAATGCTGGTGAACTTTTAGTTTGTTTTCTTAGACTATTGTGGGGAAAGATGATGTTTCAGTATGTGGTGAAGTTACATTTTAATTCCTATGTTTCAAACTCAAGATTTATTGAGCCTTCAAGGTGTAGATAGACTCGAGATAGTATGTTCGTGATGGAATATGGGATGAAGTTTCATGCCTTATCACATCATGCATTGATGATACTTCCGGGAGAGAGTGAAGAGGCTTGTCAAGGGACTTGTCTATCCCATTAGTCTAGCCACATCTCAAGTGATTAATTGTGAAATGTGGTAAGATGCTTCCAAGGATGTAAAGTTGATCACACGCCAAAACTTTGAGGAGTAAAGGGCAAGAAGCCCTGTATAGTTCAGGTAAAGTTTATTTACGTCAGTCTAGTAGACTCGTCCATTCAGCTTTGAACATCAGAGGAGGTGCTCAGACAGGTAGAGGTGGTCCTCAGACCGACCAATGTGGTGGGCATAGGAGTGCTCATAGTGATGGTGGTCAATCGGAACCAATGTTATGTATGTTATTGTTGTTGTAGGTAGTCGGTAGAATATTGTTATAAAGAAGTAATATAACCTGAAAATTTTGGTTCTCCATAAAATCCAGCAGTTACAGTGAAATATTGTTATAACGTAATATTGAGGCTGTAGCACCTTCATGTAGTAATTAAGTTAGCAGAACTCATATATATTTTGTGCCTTCATTGACCATTCACCATGTAATTGTTGCCTCAACTTCACCGAACCACTTAAAATCTTACACCTTCACTGGACTCTCACCGTTCTATCTATCTTGTTTCAACTTCACGAGACTAATCTCGATGTTTCATAGAACAGGTTTATAGATGCGAGTGAGACCCCTGTATGCTTGCATGACCTGCTGGAGACGAGCATTAAGCTTATTGTACGTAATAATTAGGGAATACATTAAGATATAAAGTGTACTTCTTGTAAGTAAATAAAAAAAAATGAAACAACAAGATACTCTGAAATTCCATTACATCAAGTGGGGTCTGAGTAGTATAGTATGTATGCAGATCTTATCACTACCTCGTGAAAGTAAAGAGACTATTTCCGAGACCCTCGACTCAAGAAAATGACACAGGGTAAATTTTTTTCTCTATATAATTTTAAATCAGTTGCAACATACAATGTGAATATGACTAGTATCAGATATTAAAAAGAAAACAGTTTTGGAGGGTAAACAGAGAGTTTAACGGTAAAATCAAGAATCAAGAAGTGAGTTTTCTATATAAACATTTTGTCTTCTCATCATTTCCATTAAATTCATTCTTCTACTTTCTTATAAGTCCTCTCTGAGTTGCTTCTTCTTGATTCAATGAAGTTGATACAATGACGATAATATGTGCAGAAATCCCTTCTAATGAAAGAATCTACTGTCGTACGTGCAGAAATCCAGTATCACACGTCCAAGATTATATTTGGATGGTACGTAAGCATTCGAATATAATGATTTCTTGCAATTTGTTTCATGAATTGTGATTAATTAAACACTACTCTGTTATTATGCTCATTTTCTTGTACATTTTGCAGGTTCATCCAGGAGGGATCTTTAGTAGAGTGTAAGTCTCGTGATTGATTTCGTGCAACTTGAGATTTATTTCTGCAGTCTAAGTTATATGTATGTGTATATATGCAGGTATAATGTTCTTGTATCAGACGATGTGAATTATCATTTTGGAAGTACCATAGCCAAGACTTACTGCAGCCAATGTGGAACGATGATCGGGTGGAAATTTGTAAGATGGTTTTCATGAACAAGAAGATTTTGTTGTTGTTTTTTTTAAAATAGTAAGTACTGAATTTTTTTTTATTTGATCTCCAGATTGAAGTCCCACGATGGTATGAGTATGTTAGAGAAGGAAGATTCATTTTGAAATTGTAAGTTTCTAATTACAAATTTGCAACAGAGTGTACATATAATTGTAAGGGTTGATACAAATTGAGTATTTTGTTGCAGGAGCGAGCTTAGTTTCTGGAATGGTGTATCATTGCTTCATTTAGGCGCTAACGAGCAAAATGCTGATCAAGATGGAGACTCTACTGATCAAGATGAAGACGCTAATGAACAAAATGTTGATCAAGATGGAGATGCTAGTACGCTTAGATTCGTTTTGTTATTGTAAGTTTCTAACTACAAATTTGCAACAGAGTATACAGATAATTGTTAAGTGTTGATACAGATGAGTATTTTTGTGGCAGGAGCGTGGCTACTTTCTGGAATGGTGTACCATTGCCTCATTTCAACGAGGAACAAGATTTAGGCGCTAATGAGCAAAATGCTCATCAAGATGGAGACTCTACTGATCAAAACGAAGATGCTAATAAGCAAAATGCTCATCAAGATTTAGGCGCTAATGAGGAAAATGCTGATCAAGATGGAGGCGATAATGAACAGAATCAT